CTATGGACAATTCTGGTTCCGATAAGGAGTCTGGTTGGGACTGGTGCCCGTGATGTTGCTCCATCTCCTGCATGGGCGGTAGACTAGTAATCCTCTTCCTGACATCACGCAGGATGTCGGCGGTTAGGTACAGTTGCAGGTGGAGGCTTGTGGCTTCTGAGCTTGACGGGCCGGACTCAAGCCACACCTTCCCCCCCGACACCCCAGCTGTCCAGTGCGGATGCAACCAGAAAGGTGCAGGCGCGAGCCAACCGGACGCCTGAGCAAGTGGCGGTGGATCGAGCAGCAGCTGCAGCGTGATGGGCAGATGCACGAGCCAACCGGACACCTGAGCAAGTGGTGGCGGACCGAGCAGCAGCTACTGCTCGGTGGGCGCGGTGGTCGGAGGCGCGAGCCAACCGAACGCCTGAGCAAGTGGCGGCAGACCAAACAGTGGACGCAGCTTGGAAGCGTCAAGCCCATGCGATTTGGCAAAAGTCATCTGAGGAGCACACACCACAATGCACCCACCGCAGCAGGGGTAGCCTTGTGGAGGCAGTTTTGGATGCTGCCTTCTGGCTGTTCAGGCGGCCGACAAACCCCACCAAGCCTCGTATGGGTGCCTGGTTAGACAGCAGTACAGCTTCATGGCCGGAACATGTGCAAGATGTTCCTGTGGATCAGCCTCTGCCCACTGTTTCTCTAGCAGAACAGATCCGAGTCACCGAACAGCTTGATGCCGCTGTCAAACACAACATGCCATCATGTGTCTGCGCCTTGCTGCAGTGAGATGAAGTCTGCGGTACAGGCACACGGCTACCGGTTTGTTGACATCCCCAACATGCACCAGTTGCGTGCAGATGTTTGGAGGACGCTGGCAGTGGCGCGTCCAGCTCAAGTCTTCACATGGCTACCAGTGGCAGCCGCACCAGGGGGCAGAACACCACCACCACCTGAGCCAGCTTTGCTGTGGGGCTTCCAAAAAGATGTGGCTCAATGGGCATTCTACGGAGAAGATAGGGCTCACCAAGCGTCCTGGTACAACAGGGTACTCTGGTGGTTCGGATGACCAAGATCACCACCAGCCCACCCAGCAGTGCAGTTCGTTGCAACAGGTGCGGGACCATTTGGGCAACACTGGAGCATACGGCTTCCCGGAGGACTTTCCGCTGCATGAGGCGGGCCCATCTAGTCTGCCACGGCAGTGTCGGTGTGAGACGGATGGTATTGACGACGAGCAGGAGTCTATTCTTTCCGATGAAGAAGCAGAAGTGGATGCGACACGGCCACAAGACGCAGACGGCCAGCATGAGGAATGGATGCTCCCTTCGTGGCCGCCACAACCTGGCATGGAGCCACGGCCGGATCCCACTGCTCTGGGTGTGTGGCTAGTGCTGTACTGCATGCATGTGGAGCGCTCTGGGGAGAATTGTACAGTGCACACCAACGAGGCTGGCGACGACATCATCATGATGTGCAATGACTGCATTCATGCCTTGGAATGTAAGCACTAAACACTGGGTCGGGGGAACGAATGTGTGGCAACATATGTATTTGATGGGTTTTGGCGGCTGCTTTCCTGTGGGATGTTGTTCGTTGTGGCCGGTTCTGGGGTAGGCTGCTGGGACAGATGCATTTCATGAGAATTTGCATGTGGTGCTTTCGTTGCCGATCATGTGTGCTGGGTGTTCATGCATGCATGCACGCAACCGCACTGGTTATTCTGGCTGGTCTGCCCTGCCTGTGGCTGCTGCCTCCAGGGTTGCACTGTACGTATCCGTATCACTATACGTATCCGTATTGAATACGTACGTATTGAAAAATTACGTCGGGAATACGTTAAGAAATACGTACAAAACAATAATTGCATTTGCTCTCCTTGTTCTTTTTGTCCGTCGAAATGACCGTCACGTGCTGCCACTCGAGCCCCTTATCAGCCATTGCAATGGAAACTCACAGCAACTGGACTACAACACCCGGCCGTAAAAGCTAAATATTATGAAAGAGTATCAATAATACGTTCAGAAAAGATGTTTGCGGAGGTACGGGGGTTGGTGTACGGGGCATTCGAGGATTACGTATTTCATGCCGTATTTTAGCGTATTTATTCACTTTGGCCAACGTACGCGTATTATACGCGTATTTCTGAGTCTGTCG